TCAAGCAATTCTCCTGCCTTAGCCTCCTGAGTAGCTGGGATTACCGGCACGCACCACCATGCCCAGCTAATTTTTTGTATTTTTAGTAGAGACGGGGTTTCACCATGTTGAACAGGATGGTCTCGATCTCTTGACCTCGTGATCCACCCGCCTCGGCCTCCCAAAGTGCTGGGATTACAGGCTTGAGCCACTGTGCCCGGCATGAAAACAATATTTTTTGATTAACTGAGATTTTTAAAGTATGAAAATATAGTGTTAGCAGAGATGTGAAGCACAGGAATGCTAGTGCAATACTGTGGAGGCGTCATGAAATCACTTTGTTTTTTATAACCTCCTAAACAATTATATTACATTGTATTCAACTTAGTAGCATGATTCCTTACTTTTCTGGTTTTAAGTCTCTATAGATTATTCCCAGGCTATGTAGATGGTCTAAAGCAAGTGCAAGTTCAGCCAAGTAGAATTTGACATCTTCTTCTGTGAACATCACCTAAAATAAAACAATAATTTTTCTAAATTTATTTTTTTTGTGTAATTTTTAAAGTTCCACGCTAGAGTTTAAATATTCTAAAAATTTTATAAATCTGATAATTATACATAGTTTTATCTACAATTTACTCATGAAAGGAATTTGCAAAGTTATCTAATCAGTCAACCAATCACTTAAATGTATGCTGAATTTCTAGTACTAATTGTTTAAGGATACCTTGTTGATATATTATTGCTTCTGGAAAAAACTATCAAAGAGGCAGGATTAAGACAAAGATTGCTTGTCAATTTAAAGTCCTGCTTTCAAAATAAATTCAAGAGGTAGGAAAAGAACTCTTTTTGGGTCTGATTCTTCAAGAATCTTGTGCCACTAGAGAAAATGCAGTAAGCATAATACTGAAATATAACAAAGCTTTAGTTCAAACAGGATGTATATAAATAGATTGAAAACAGAGATTAATTATATACCTCTTTGGATAAGCGTGTAAACAAATCTCCTCCCCTGAGAAAATCCAAAATGAGATACAACTTCCCTTCAGTTTGAAAAGCTGAATGAAGAAATGAAAATTTTCATTTAGTCCACCATAATTCTTTTCGGCTTATATTAGGTCATTCATAAGTGAATATTTTAGCAAATTAATTATATCAAATGTCTAAACTTACTTTTACTTAGAAGAAAACCACTAATTTATCTTAGTTTCCATGTGGAAATGTTAAATGCAGTATTTCTTATTATGGAACCACTAGATTTTCTACAGGCAATTCACTCAGGAATACAACAGTTCTAAACCCATGATATGTAAGAAAAAATTCTAACAAAAAAGTACTTACTTAACCATGAAATAACATACAAAAACCATGCCACTAGCTACAGAAAAAAATGTGGGTTGGTTAGTTTTAATTACACATAGTAAGAATCACCATACCTTTACCCACTGAGAAAAAGCATATGGCTTTGGGGAAAAGAACAGCAGTGACAACGGTTTTAGGACCTTGACATTAGAGATATGTTTGGCTTTTAGGGTGGGCTAACACATACAGGCTATAAAAAGCTGGCATATTATTATTCATTTTTGTTATAATAAAAAAGCAATGACTAGCATTACCTGTTCCTACAGCTACCACTCAGAAACTAACTTTATAATATTTAAGAAAAACATAAGCTAAACACAATAAAAGGTTCTAAAGTTTGTCTAAGAAATAATGGTTTAATTTTCATGATTTTTTACTATATAGATCTGCTAATCACATACAAATATATATTTATTTATATTAGTATATCTGAATGTCCTCAGGGATTTTGAGAAATGAGGTGAAGGGATGACGTGGGAGATGGTTCATACTTACCATAATGCAACTTGACAATAAAAGGATGATTAACTTCTACCAAGATATCACGTTCCATTTTTGTCCGAACTCGGTCTCGAACTATAAAAGATTGTATGTATGCTACATTGTAATATCTTTCAAAGATAATCTTCAAAGCAAATTCTTTTTGGTGCCCATGTTAAATAAAATTTTGCTTATATGTACTAAAATGCGAATGTATTTATCATTTTTGAATTTACAAAATCAATAACCAAAGGAATTTGTACATATTTACAAAATCCATGCTTTTATGTTGGAAAAAATACAGAGAAAACATTAGGTATTGGCTTTAACATCAAATGCACACATTTTAATCACAGCTGTGGAAAATGGCAAAAAAGCATGCAACTGTTAAAAACAAGGCATCCTGGCCGGGCGTGGTGGCTCATGCCTGTAATCCCAGCACTTTGGGAGGCTAAGGCAGGCAGATCACCAGGTCAAGAGATCCAGACCATCCTGGCCAACATGGTGAAACCCCATCTCTACTAAAATACAAAAATTAGCTGGGCGAGGTAGCCCACGCCTGTAGTCCCAGCTACTTGTGAGGCTGAGGCAGGAGAATTGCTTGAACCCGGGAGGCGGAGGTTGCAGTGAACCGAGATTACGCCACTGCCCTCCGGCCTGGTGCCTGGCGACAGAGCAAGACTCTGTCTCAAAAAAACAAACAAATAAATAAATAAACCAAATACCAAATAGGTTTCAACATTCCACCAGTCCTATCAATGAAACTCAACATTCATTAAGCATACCTAAAATGGGGCAGACGTAGGGGAAAGAACAGTTATATCCAAAGAGGTCTATTTTGAGGGAAGGAGAGAAGGAAGCAAGAGGGAGAGAGAGGACATACTGTTGTATGGCTGAAAGAGCAAATGTTTTTTGGAGTTTAGACAGAAAGATATGAATTCAGATCTGTGTAATCATTTTTTTTTTTGACAAAAACTTAAGCATTACAGGATCTGTGCAATCACAAGCAAGATACCTATTTAAACTCTTTGAGCCTCAGTTACCTTTTGGCTACACAATGGGGATAACACTACTGTAGATTTGAGGAGCATGAGCCCATTTGAGATAAGGTATATACCTAGAGCCTCGTATGTATAAGATATTCAATTAAATGGTAGCTATTGCTATTATATCCAAGGTAGCACCATGACTATGATTAAGGGATAAAACAATTTACTACAGCCAGCCCCTTCTGCACAGTCATGCTGAGCCAGCGCCTGGGCCTGGAAGTGGGCCACAGACCCTCAGTTTCGCCCATCACCTCCCGACCATGGACCCCCACAAAGTGAACGAGCTTCGGGCTTTTGTGGAGATGTGTAAGCAGGATCCAAGCATTTTGCACATCAAGGAAATGTGCTTCCTGAGGGAGTGGGTGGAGAGTATGGGGGGTAAAATACCACCTGCTACTCAGAAAGCTAAATCAGAAGAAAATACCAAAGAAGAAAAACCTGATAGTAAGAAGGTAGAGGAAGACTTAAAGGCAGATGAACCATCAAGTGAGGAAAGTGATCTAGAAATTGATAATGAAGGTGTGACTGAACCAGACACTGATGCCCCTCAAGAAATGGGAGATGAAAATGCAGAGATAACAGAGGAGATGATGGATCAGGCAAATGATAAGAAAGTGGCTGCTATTGAAGCCTTAAATGATGGTGAATTGCAGAAAGCCATTTACTTATTCACAGATGCCATCAAGCTGAATCCTTGCTTGGCCATTTTGTATGCCAAGAGGGCCAGTGTGTTCATCAAATTACAGAACACAAATGCTGCCATCTGAGACTGTGATAGAGCCACTGAAATAAATCCTGATTCAGCTCAGTCTTACAAGTGGCGAGGGAAAGCACACAGACATCTAGGCTACTGGGAAGAAATAGCCCATGATCTTGCCCTTGCCTGTAAATTGGATTACGATGAAGATGGGAGTGCAATGCTGAAAGAAGTTCTACCTAGGGCACAGAAAATTGCAGAACATCAGAGAAAGTGTGAGCAAAAATGTGAAGAGCGAGAGATCAAAGAAAGAATAGAAAAAGTTAAGAATGCTCGAGAAGAGCACGAGAGAGCCCAGAGGGAGGAAGAAGCCAGACGACAGTCAGGAGCTCAGTATGGCTCTTTTCCAGGTGGCTTTCCTGGGGGAATGTCTGGTGGTTTTCCCGGAGGAATGCCTGGAATGGGAGGGACATGCCTGGAATGACCGGAATGCCTGCACTCAATGAAATTCTTAGTGATCCAGAGGTTCTTGCAGCCATGCAGGATCAAGAAGTTATGGTGGCCTTCCAGGATGTGGCTCAGAACCCAGCAAATATGTCAAAATACCAGAACAACCCAAAGGTTATGAATCTTATCAGCAAATTGTCAGCCACATTTGGAGGTCAAGCGTAATGCCCTTCTGATAAATAAAGCCTCTGCTGAAGGAAAAGCAACCTAGATCACCTTATGAATATTGCAGTAATATAAACCAGTGTACCTCCGACCTTTTCATCAAGAGCTGGGGTGCTCTGAAGATAATCCCTACTCCTCTCCCCCAAATGCAGCTGTAGCATTTTACAGTGGTTTGCCATTAGGGTATTCATTCAGATAATGTTTTCCTATTGCCAACATTAAACACTTTTTAACCTTAAAAATATTTAAAACAAATTTAAAGGGTCTGTTAATTTTTATATTTTTCTTTACTAATCATTTTGGGTTTTTTTTCTTTGAACTATTAATGGGCAGGGAAGATACTTATGTATAGAAGATTTTTTTGCTCTAATTTGAGTGAAATAAAAATTTGTTAGTGCAAAAAAAGAAAAAACCAATTTACTACAGCAATGAATACCGTGGGATTCAGAGAAGGGCAAGGTCAGTCTTAACTTGCATAGGAAGGCTAGAAGATGTAGGATCAGGGCACAAGCTTTAAGACTTTTCGAGTGGAATTTAGATGGGTAGGAACAATAGGGCCTAGAAAACAAGAGTCCAAGCATGGAGTACCCAGTGCAAATAAAGACATAAAGGCCTGAATGATGAACAGGGGGGAACCAAATGAGATTTACTACTGCGCCAAGGTGAAATGGGGAGGATCCAGATTCTTGACAAGTTGGAATGCCAAGATGAATTTTTATTTGAGCAAAGCTCTTTTTCAGCAACAAAATATTTCCTCAGCAAAGTATATGTGCAATGTACTAGGGATATACCTACAAATAAGATAATCTTCAAGAAGCTCATGATCCAGTGGGAAGGATAGACAAGTAAATAAATGATTATAATACATTCTAAGTATTGTGAATGGTTATATCAAAGATTAAAACAGAAAGAATAGGAGAATCTTTGGAAGAGAAATAATGTAGAGTTGGTTTTATTTTCAGTTTGTGACTGCAGATATTTAAAATATAGAAATAAGACATCTGGGTAAAATAAAGGAGCTAAAAAATGCCCTATTTTTTCCATTCTATCAATTTTCTAATCCTAACTGGGAGATTTTCATGCCACTGACTGAAAATGGGCAAATCAGAAATAGGAATAAATTGCTCTTGATATCTAGGCAGCTCTTTTAACTGACTTGTCCAGTAAGTATACCAAATTCAATAGCAATCTCTGATTTCATTACCTTGCCCTATCACTACAACTCTGGTGTCTTCTTTGTTATATTTGATATGCCCCCTTTTTATTTTTGAGATAGGTTATCGCTGTCACCCAGGCTGGAGTGCAGTGGTGTGTGATCTTGGCTCACTGCAACCTCCACCTCCCAGGATCAAACAATTCTCCTGCCTCGGCTTCCCAAGTAGCTGGGATTACAGGCTCACACTACCATACCTGGTTAATTTTTGTATTTTTAGTAGAGACAGTGTTTCACCATGTTAGCCAGGCTGGTCTTGAACTCCTGACCTCAAGTGATCTGCCCGCCTCGGTCTCCCAAAGTGCTGGGATTACAGGTGTGGGCCACGCCCAGGCTGATATGCCTTTTCTACTTTTTATGTGAGCGAAGTTCATCTCCAAGGCCTGCTGATATTTCCTTTCTAGTCTAGCCTAAATCTGTCCTTTTCTCGTTAATACCACACAATTTTGGATTAGTTCCTATTACTTTAAAGGTGGATTCCAAAGTTCTACCTCTTTCAATCAGTATATAATGCTTGTCACTTATATAACTCCTCTGCTCAGTGAGCAGCAAAAATATCCACCAATAGATGCACTGCATCTCCCTCTTCTATTATTTTACCACAATGGAAAGAACAATTATTTGGGAGTCAAGAACTACAGCTTAGTGGCATACTAATAACTAGATGAGTTACCTTGGTCAAATCATTTCATTGCTCAGGGATTTCCTGCTTCCTCCTCTATAAAATGAAGGGTTAGAACCAAGATGATATTCTTTTGAGATAGTTTTCTTTTCATCATTTCCTTATATGTAACATTGATGAGACACTGTTTAGCTGAAAACGAGCAGTGAGATTCCTTCACTTAAGAATTCCTTCATTTTGTCTGAGGTAGGACTGTGTCATAATTCTAATTTTGTTTCTTTTGCTTATGTAAAGACCTAGTGACAATCCTAAATCATCCTATCATGAGGAATTTTGATTAGAATATACTAATTCATAAGAAGGCTTGTTTTATATGGGCCAACTTCTAATCCAAACATAGAATTGGTTAATACTGACTCATGCTGGCAAAGCAACTAGATTCCTCTGAAATATTTTTTCTTCTACAGCAGTTATTAGATTTAAGCCCTCCTTGACTCAATATGAGAATGAAGAAGAATAAATGTTGTTTATGTTTCTAGGACTATGTATTAAGAGACCTTTTAAAGCAGTTTACAAAACCTTTTAGACAAACAGACCACCTTAATAGGACAGAAGTCCCAATTAACTTTGTCTAATGTTATTAACTTCTATTTGACCTCATTTATGGTACTAATAGGAACCTTAAGATGGGAAGAGACTTCTGGTTAAACATGGATGTTTTACTCTCTATATTCTTCCAAAACCTCATGGAAATGACAATAATGGAAAAACTGCATAAACAAGGACAGGAAGCAATAGCAGAAGATGGGTAAGTGGTAACTACCAAGCAGACCAGAGAAAGCT